CCCCAAAACCCCAAAACCCCAAAACCCCTTATCACATGATATGGCAGGGTTAAATTGAATTTAAATTTATAATTTCAATGGGAGCTAAAAACTCAGGGTTCTAGTAAAGATCAGGCACTGATGTCCCTCAGTCCTAATCAGAGATTACCATGAATATAGAAGAAGGAAACTCCTATGTTTAGAAGACCTAGCCAAGACAGAGGAAGGCTGCGACATTGAAGCAATCCTCTACAATGAAAAAGACAGCATATGAGAGGTTGGAGGCTCGTATACCTTTACAAATCCTAGACATCAGAGAATTCGAGGGTAGATTAAAGAAACTGATTTATGGGAAGGAGACTATAAGTGTCAGACAGATGTAATATGTGCTAAGCAAAGACTATGAAGACTTTGATGATCTTTTTGACGAATAATCTACTCTTTACAAGATTATGACATCAGGAACATTTAAAAATGATGAAACAGAAACAGAAATGAATGTGCAATATCTAATGCTATTTGGACTACTCTATTGTCAAGGATCTAACGATGAAAAAGCATAAGTGCTCTACGATATTTTTTAGGACGGACTTCAAGAACTGATCTCGGCCAATGATAAAGATATCAAGGATTGTTTCTGGCGGCTTTTAGATATGGCGAGTCATGTCATTCATAAGTGGTCCCAAGATTTTGGTGATGAAGAAGTCAAGCAATCTGGAATCGAGAAGTTATTTGCAAAAAATGAAGATGATCTAGACTAATGGAAATAAGTGGTAGAGACTATCTAAGAGTAGTTCTTAGATACAGTGTTTGACATTCACAGTAAAATAAAGAGAGAAGAATTTATACTTACAGTTTCTAAAAAATGTTAGTATCTTTTTAAGCCTTAAGAGATCAGGAAAAAAATAATTCAAGAGTTTAAGAACTAATGAACCTAAAATGTTTGAAGATAAAGAGTTATTTGGCCCTCTCTGATACGCTAATAAATGATTAATTTCTAATATAATTATTTAAGATCTTAAAGATGCATCAAAATATTAATAAGTTTTAATACCTTAAAATCAGAATCACAGTGGTTATTAATCATAATTTCCTTTTAGACATTGACGAAATTTTTCTATTTGATGATGGAGGCTATGGTGAGTCAATGACTTTTCTTAGAGAATATATATTCCACTTAGTAGCACTCCCATTTTTCTTTGGTTCAAACTTTTGATATCTAAGTTTAAGCGTTTCCTCAAAGCTAATCTTATTTGTCTTTTTTGCTGTTGAATGCTTATTTTATGCTTTAGCAATATTTTCTAATTCTTCAGGTTTTATTTCTAAATCATCTTCAGCTGCATTGTGATCATGCAGAGATATTTTTTATACCTTAGTCGAAACTTGTCTTGATCGCTACTAAGAGTGATCGAAATGCTTAATTCTGGTGGTTTAATTATTGATGACTTTTAATCTAGGTGTTGAACCTTCATCCTTAGTATCTTGGAGATATATATTTGGATTTTTGGTTGCCTTTGGAGACATAAAAATTTATCTTGATGCTCCATAAGATGTAAAGGTTTACTTCTGAACATCTTTTTAAATGTTAAATGAGAAACTTTAAGTCTCTACGTCATCTATGGTAACTTTCAATTAATGCTTTTATATATTATTTTGAATTATTATGGAGTCTTTGAATGATTATGTAATGCTCATCTTTTGCTTTGATTCAGGTTGTTTTGCAATATTGATTCCTGGCTGAAAATCTTTACGAGATTTCATCAAATTTGCTGCTCTGAGGATATGATTTCTATAAGAGTGATCATTTGCGATATTATCTGACTTCTTTAAAAAAGGATTCTTTTCTTTATGCTTATTTTAATGCCCTAGTAATGATTTAGCAGGATTTAGCAATATTTTAGTATCAGGTTCTTTAACAAATGGCTTTGTTTAAAACCTGGGCTATTTAGTCTGTATTATAATTTCTTCTATATATTCTAAGACTTCTTCTCTTTTTTTGAACTTTGTCTAAAGTTACTCCAAAAAACTTTTTATTTGCTACTAGAAATTGATATTGTCTTAATTATGAAATACAAATGTAGCATCTAGAAGTCTCTCTATAATATAGATATCCAAATTTATATGGCAATTCATAAAAACTTTCATGAAGGTCTTAAGATGTTTCAGGTTTTAGTAATCTATGAGGGCAAGAAATTTCAAGTATATAGGCTTTTTCTCCTCATTATTACATATTACTAGTTCATCTGCAATGAAAAATATATTCTATTTTATTTCTCTATGAGATATTTACTACACACTTTTGTAGTCTTTAAATAGTTTAGATGCTATTGGACTGCTTAACTCTTAGTTTTTAAATCTAGGTGTCTTTATGGTTTTAATTTCAAAATTTGGTGCTTCAGGAGAAAAATTTCTTTTTGACAATTTCTTAATAGGACTCAATCTTACATGCTTTGTGTTCTCTCTTATACTCTTTTAGGCCGGAGAATCATCATCTTAAACTGATTAAGAATGCTAACGATTTCCAATAATCTCTATAGATACATTCCTTCGAAAATCTACTTTGAATATCTTTGAAGTTATACCATATCTTTAACCTTAAAATGTAGTGCCACTTTCTGAAACAGTACGTTCTCTTGAGTTTCTATTTATCATCTGTATTTACTAAGCTAAACTTATCATATTATTTTCAAAAGCATATAAACTCATAGGTTCCACAGATGAAGAATTAGAAATGATACTATTAAAGGTCGCTGATCTTGTTTTTCTTTATGAATATTTCTACAGAATTAAATGATTAGTTAACATTGTCTCTTAAATCTGATTTTTGGATGAAAATTTTTTTCTGCAGTAGAGAACTTCTGCTTTTTTTAGGATTTTTATCATCAGAAAATTATTAGTAATATTGGAGTAGGGAGTTTTTCCGTTTAAATTATATACAAATAGATCGGCACCCTGATCAATCAAAAAGTTTACAATCCTGTAGTAACTCCCTGATGCAGCTAGATGTAGAGCAGTGCATCTCTCAGGTCCACCTTGATGATCAATATTGATTGACTCATTCTCCATGCTTTGTTTACTAGCTTCGAATAAGCATACCATAGCATCATAACTAGCTCTTTTAACTGCAATTTCTAAGGGAGTCCATTATTAATTATTAACAGCATTGAAATCTGCACCGTGTTGAACCAATATTTCTAAGATTTCTTTTACAGCACTCTAATTCTTTGTTATATACTTCATTAAGAAATTAACAGGATAATCTTCTACATAGGGGTCTTAATAAGATACATCACCACCTTTTTCTATGATCTTTTCAACTAGTTATGAGTTCATTTTAGAGATTGCTAAGAATAGAACAGATCCGTACTAACCTGCTCTAGTATTTACATCAATTTTCTCATGTTTTAATAATCTTTAAGCGTAATCTAATTTTCCTAATTCTATAGCTAAGCCTAAGGGAGTAAAGTGATCCTTGTCATAGTCATTCAAGCAATCACAGTCCCCTGCGAGAAATGCTTCTAGAATATGAGGTTAATCATTTAAAATGGCAATATGTATTTTGCTTCTGTTTAAATTATCCATTGGCTGAAAGTACCTTTTTTCAGAACTAAAAGCATCTATAAATTTCTCAAAACTTATACTTTAATTCTTTTCATTACAAGATCTAGAAAGATTTTCTAAATTTTCTGAAATTATAGCTTTTTATTGTAATGATCTAGTGACTGCCTGAGGGAATGGAGGGTATGAATAACTCAACCACTCAATATCAAATACTAAAAGCTATTTGAGTAAATGAAATTCACTTGGAAGTTCCTTGAGTTTATTATTAGAAAGTATAAGAGTATTAAGCTGTGTCAATTCACTCAATATTCCTGGCTAAATCTTAGAAATTTTATTGTTTTTTATACTAAGCACTTAAAGCTGAGTGAGTTTAGATATTTGGCTAGGAAATACTTCAAATTTATTATTATCTAAGACTAAGTGTTTTAGTTATTTACAATTTTCAATCTATACTGGTAATGATTGTAACTAATTTAACCCAAGATAAAGCTCATTAAGGGCAACAAGATTGCCTATAGTAATTGGAAGATAACTAATCTTATTGTTTGTGAGTTGTAGGATCTATATATGAGGCTTCAAAATAAACAAACTTTGATGAATATCAGAGATTTAGTTATCACTAAAGTTAAGCGATATTAAATTCGCTAAATTAATGTCATTTTTATATAACTACCATGGTACTTATTACAGATTTTTATCCTGCAAGTTACACTCTGTTTGATCTTTTATGTCATCGAGTGAAAATTCAGATTCAAGTTTGTTAACCATTAGATTATTAGTTTCTTTTCTGTAAACATTATGTATGGCTGGCTCCTAAGCAAATGACTAATTGAATGTAATTGTGTCACTAGCATTAAGGATTTCTATATTAGTTTTTTTCAGTATTTTATCTAAGTGATCTTTTCGTATTTCATAGTGAGGATTATTCATTACTACAGTATTCATCGTTATATTAAGCATTTCAAGGTTCTTTTATGTAGATAAGAGAGTGCAGCTTTCAATGGAGCCTATCAGTAATTCATTGTCAGATAGTACATCTCTCTCATCAACTGATTTTTTATGTTCTTAGATTAACTTGTATTTTTTCATTATTAAAATTTATGTAATGTTTATTTAACTTTATTAACATCTTAATCCTCTAATTTTTAGCATTTAGGGGTTTTGGGGTTTTGGGG